AACACATTCATATTATAATCAATGAAATGCTAATTTAAATAGCTACTGCGCACATTCACTCACATACCCCTTTGATGATGTATTTAAATAGCTACTGCGCACATTCACTCACATACCCCTTTGATGATGTATTTAAATAGCTACTGCGAACATTCACTCACATACCCCTTTGATAATACATCAAACAATATCATGATTACCCTTAGCCCCCTTAATCCCAATTCAAACATGAGGCTACACCCAAAGCAATAATTACTCATTTTGACCGAATTGAAGCAACATTGCTGCATTTTTAAGCTTACTTAAAGCCCTTAATACACCATTACAACCATCCAGAATTTAAATACCACATGAGAACTCAGCTATTCAAACAGAAACTAGCTAGACTACATTACAAATCAATTGACTAAAAGCATGATCATCGTGAAAGAAGTACAACTGTGGCACAAATAGAATCACTGCCATGATTCCAACATTGTCTTTATTTCCATCTTCAATTTGAAACTTACATCATGAAGGATTCAGAATATGTACCTGGAAATGAAAGGAAAAGAGGTGAAGAAGCAGTAACAACAACAACCCAATAATCAGAAAACGAGGCAAGGATCCAATTTGGATTGGTCAATAAAACAGTAACAGTAGCAGCAGAACTCAGAACCAAGTCTAATAGCACAGTAACCCCAGCAACAAAACCTCAAAAACCAAGCTCTAGGAACACAGATTCATGCCATTTAATCCCAAATGAATCAACAATGTTTTGTTAATCGAAAACTTCAAAGATCACTGAAGAAACTCAATGAAACAGTCAAAAAAAACCAGTCGTTTGTATTTCTGGATTTTTAATTGTTCAATATATGCCTTCTCAGGCAAGAAAAGGTGCCTTTATAGGCAAGCAAATATGGCAGCTTACAGAAGATCATATTTGCAATTAGACCCTTTTCAGCTGTTTTTTTTTGCTTTTAAGTCCTGACTTTTGACTTGTTAACCAAGTAAGTGTACTATGTAGCTTCTAGGAATCTTCATGGGTGGTTACTTGAGAAATTCTCTCAGTAACTTCCCCAGTTTACCATTAATACCCCTGGAATTTTACTTTGAGAACCAGACCAAGATGGGTCAAAATTTGGCCCAATACTAAACCAAATCAGGTGGGCTGCTCCTTGCCAAATGGATCAGAGACAACCCAAAGCCCAAGCGAGCACTTATCTAATTGAAAAGAATACACTATAGACCCAGATATCATGAAATGATTTCAACAACAATCCTAATTCAATCACTGATCAATTCACAGCTAGGTGAGGGATTAACTAAATTACTAAATCAACATAAACTAATTAACTTAAGCTAAAGAACTAACAAGAAGGAAATCAGAGACTTAACTCTAAAACTAAACAAACGGGCAAACAAGGTTAGTGAACAAGTTTTAGGAGTTGAAAAGAAAATTAAAAACGACCAGAATCAAATACCAAACCCAAATTAATCTAAAGGAGGGAAAACTAAACCTAAGTCTATTCATAGACGACAAAATTAATCAAGGCAAATGGAAAAGAAAAGAAGAAGATCAAGAGATAAAACGGACATGCCGAAGAACTCACCAAGCAAACTCGAAACCAAACCGAATTTCTTGGTTTAACAAATTTGATGCTATTCACTTGTTCTTTGTTAAGAACAAGTGAACTGCATCGATTTTGCGTCAAACCAAGACTTCGAATCGTGAAAACCAAGAAGCTTGGGCCAGTGCATGCTCAGAACTGAAGGTGAAGAGATTCAGGGTTTTAGGGTCTCTCATTTGATTTGAGATTCGAGCAACTCTGCGAGGATTTGAGAGAAACTCATTTTGGATTAGGGAAGACTGAGCCATGGGGGTTATCTAGTGTTAATTTAGGGTGGTTTGGGAAAGGTTAGGTTTTTGTTCTAGTCTTCGATTTAAGATTCGAGACGAACCAGGGGGATTTGAAAGATATGGGTTAGGGATTTGGGAAGAGGAGATGAAGGAGGTCTTGGGATGTAAAAATGGGGGTGAACGGAGGTGGCGCCGTTGGGTTAAGGCGACGTGAATTAGGGGCGGCAGGTTAGGGTTTAGGTTTGGACTCTGAAGGACGAAGGTGAGAGAGAGACGAGGTGGGGGGGTCTGANCCTTCTCTTTTCAATTCTCTTTTTAATTCCTTTTCTTTTTTTTTTCTAAAAATGAAAATAAAACAAAACCCAACTTAATTCCTAAACCAAATTATCCTAGAAAATTAAATTAATTGCCCTAATAATTATTACAACTGATTAAATACCAAAATTCAAATCTAAAATTTAAACAATGCAAAAAAACTCATTTTTTGTGATTTTTCATTTTTGTAAAGTAACTAAATTACTAATTGATTTAAAAATGCAAAATTAAATCATAAATGCAAATGCAACATATTTTGTACTTTTCATAATTTAAGCAAAATTATACATGCGCAGACAAATGCAAACAATAACAAAATGCTACGAAAATCCACGAAATTGTAAACAATAGGAAAAATTATTTTGTTTTGAATTTGTGGGAGTAATTCATATAGAGCAAAAATCACGTGCTCACGAGATTGATGCAACTAACTCTTCTAGTGATGGTTCAGAGTTTTAAGGAACCAAGGAAGAACTTGAAGAGAATAACGATGCAGGCCAACATCCTACACTGGCGGTAGATCCGCCTACTTCTCCCCGGGGCGTAGATGCTTCTCTTCCTTCCAGTTCCGGTGGTGATGAAGTTTTGCCTTTCTGCTTTCTTTTCTTTTGATGTTTTCATTTTGTATTTTTGTACTTATGTCGCTTGACATGTTAGATAAATAAAAAGTACCTTTTTTGTAAGCATTGCGCATAGTTCAGTCCCTTTCGCGTTGAATTAAGTAAGAATTCAGGTGTGTTTTCTGCCAATAGTTTTTGGGTTTCGGGCATAACTCTAATTCTACTATAATCTAAACATTGCTTTCCCAAGCATAGCATAGATAGTAGGGTCAATTGGTAGCTACAACAATTCACAAGTTAAATAGAATTAAAGAAACAACCACAAGATGATAATCCGAATTAACAAAGATGTATTTAATAAACGATAATAATCATGTCAACCACAACCCTAGAAACTAAAGTACTTAGCCATTCATGTTCATAGCACATTTTCCAAGTATTTTGCATAAACAAATTACAAAGCAAAGATGAAGGAATGAAGAACTCGATGATTTCCTCCTCCAAAGAATGCTCCAATCGTCTTCTCCCTTTCAAAATAGTCTCCCTAGGTCTAAGATGTGTCAAAAGTCTTCAAAATAGCATTTTTATATGTATTTATACCAAGTAGGGTCGGGCCCAGATGAAACACCTTTTCCTGCACAAAATAGGACTCTGGTTCTGTAAAATTTGCATAGGCACACCGCATGGGGCGATGCGCCACACGGTGTGCTTATTGGGAAGTTCAGAGAGCTGATTCTGATAGGCTATAGGAAATTTCCACAGGCGTGGCATGCGCCGCACCACAATATGTGCCGCAGTAGTGGGAATTCACAAAAATTCAAAACATGAAAGTTGTATCCCTTCCAATTATCTTTCCAACGATATATTGTGGAGCCCAAAAAGAGTTCTGACCAAAAGTTATGTGAATTTTACTAGATAATGTGCCATATGCCTGCTCGATTTTCTGTTTCGTTCTTAACTATCATCCATTGATCCCCGAACACGATCCCTACTTGATTCCTTGGTCTTTTACTCAGACTTCAAAGCTCTAAATCACTTGAATTCATTCCATAATATCTACATAGCTCGGAATCACTCCTACAAGGCATAAAATACACAATTAGTGAAGAACACTAGTGATTAAAGCTCAAACTCAATTAAACTGCAGTAATTTATAGTGTAATAAGAGACTAAAATACACAATTATAGCATATTTAATTTTTTTAACTTGCTTTATTTGTGATAACACAAGCTCTTCTCTTGAATGCGGAGGAGTAGAAGCACAAACAATCTCCTTCCTCTTCATCCTGAAATTGAACGAACACTTCATGGAGTGAGGAGGAAGTGGAAGCTAGAACTAGAATTGAAAGAGAGTTGGACATCGTAGTTCAACCACAGCCAATAGAGATAGCAGGTAATGAATAGCGTCCGGTGATAGAAGCCGCAAGGCCCAATCTGGCTCTTATGACTCAGGCGATTCTGAAGCCTGATATCATGGGTCACTTTGAACTTAAACAGTACATGGTACAGCTGATCCAATCCACAAGGAAATAAGTAGGTCTATCTCATGAAGACCCGCAGAGGCACATTCAGAAATTCCTTGAAATTACAGACACTTACAATTATCCGAACGTTTCCAAGGACTATGTCAAGCTGACATTGTTTCCCTTTTCATTGATGGGGAAGTTAAGGAATGGTTGCAAAAGGAGCCCCTAAACTCAATCAACACTTGGGATGATCTAGCAAGGAAATTCTTAATCAAATTTTTCCCACTAAGAAGACAAAGTCGTTGAGGAGCCAGATTCTTGGGTTTCAACAACGAGATGGCAAGACTCTTCGTCAAGCCTGGGAAAGATATAAAGAGCTACTTAGAGATTTCCCACATCATTTTTATACTGATAAGGTATTGGGTTATACTTTCGTTAATGGGTTGGACGAGGCATCAAAGATGAATCTTGACTCAGCATGTGGGGGTAGTTGCATGGAAAAACCGTATAGTGAGATCCAGATCCTGCTAAACAATTTCATTGCTAATGATAATAATTGGCAAGGATATGGGGAACCACGAAGAGCACTTAAACAAGGCAGCAGGTGTGATTGAGCTTGATGATTTTTCAGCCATGAGGGCAGATATAGCGAGATTAGAAAATCAGATGAATAAAATGACAATGCACCAAGCAGAACTGATGCAGCATGTGCAACATATGTCTACTTGTTGTGAGTTATGTGGTGAAGGTCACACAAGTGACATATGACCTGTGAATCATGAATCCATATACTATGTGGGGCAACAAGCTAAAAGGCCGATGAATCAAAATGCTCAATATGGTAACACATACAATCTGAATTGGGGGGATCATCCTAACTTCTCTTGGAGTGGAAATAAGAATATTAGGCCTCAAGCTAATTACAATCAGCCACCTAAACCCCCACAACAAGCAGAAGAGATTTTGACGGACATGATGAAACAACTCTTGATCGATAATCAATTGCGCACAGAGTTCAGAAATCTCGAGAGTGAGTTTGGGCAAATGGCTAACAATCAGAATACTAGACCTACTGGGGCCCTTCCAAGTGATACAGAGAAAAATCCTCAAGTCAATGCAGTGACGTTGAGGAATGGGAGAGAGTTGGAAGAAGTTCCTAAGAAAAAAAAGAGCAGTCTGGGCTTAAAGAAGAAAGAATCCCAAAACCTATAGAGGTAGATGAGAAAAACAAAACAGAGTTTGAGCATACATTAGAGAGGGTACCACCCCCTTTTCCTCAAAGATTGAGAAAGAAGAATGATGACCACATGTATCACAAATTTCTAGATATGCTGAAGCAGATACATTTGAACAACCCTTTGGTAGACATGCTCTCTGAGGACCCAAAATATGCAAAATATAATAAGGATATAGTGGCAAACAAAAGGAGTTTAACTGAGTTCGAGAACATCGCACTTATTGAGGGGTGAACTTTCAGGGTTCAACATAAGCTTCCACAAAAGCTTAAGGATCCAGGTAGTTTTACCATCACCGTGAGGATTGGTGAATTTGATGTGGGTAGAGCCTTTGTGATTTGCATGCAAGTATTAATCTGATGTCGTTGTCAGTGTTCAAACAATTGGGCTTAGGAGCTCCGAGACCCACCACGGTGATGCTATAGTTAGCTAATAGATCTTATGTTTATCCTGAGGGGGTAATTGAGGATGTCTTGCTACAGATTGGGAAGTTTATTTTTCATGCAGATTTTATCATCCTAGATTATGTAGCTGATGAGTTGGTTCCTATCATCTTGGGATGACCTCCTTTGGCAACTAGAGATGCAATTATCAAAGTTCGAGAAGGTAAGATGATCCTGAGGGTGGACAATGAAGAAGCAGTCTTCAATGTATATCAATCCATTCAGTTGCCTCGTCATTACGAGGAACTAGCCATGATTTCGGTGGTGGACATAAATAAGCTGGCCGTATAGCCAAGGGTGTTTAAAGAAGATGCACTAGAAAAGGCATTGACGTTGTTCAATCACTTGGAACTTGAAGAGAGGCTGAGGAGATGTTGCACATTCTGGATGCATCGTGCGAATACATAAGAGAAAGAACCCAATTTGAACCTCTGGATAGGCCAATCGGCAAGCCTCTTAAACCCTCAGTTGAGGAGGCCCCGAAATTGGAACTTAAACCCTTACCATCTCATCTTCATTATGCATATTTGGGATATTCTAACACTTTACCTGTGATTTTTTCTTCTCATTTGTCTGAATTGCAGGAAGAAAAGCTCTTAAGGGTGCTGAGGGAGCACAAGCATGCCATTGGTTGGACGATGTCTGACATAAAAGGTATTAGCCCTGCATTCTGCATGCACAAAATACTCATGGAGGAGGGATATAAGCCTTGTGTGGAGCATCAATGCCACCTCAACCCAATCATGAAAGAGGTGGTAAGAAAAGAAGTGATAAGTGGCTTGACATGGGTATAGTATTTCCTATCTTCGATAGTAAGTGGGTAAGCCATGTTCAATGTGTACCTAAAAAGGGGGGTATGAGTGTTGTAGTGAATGAACAAAATGAATTAATCCCAACTAGGACTATGACTGGTTGGCGAATATGCATAGATTATAGGAAGTTGAATAATGCTACACGAAAAAACCACTTCCCTCTCCCCTTTATTGATTTAATGCTTGACAGGTTAGCCGGATAGGAATACTATCGTTTCCTTGATGGCTATTCGGGGTATAATCAGATTGCTATTGGCCCAGAAGATAAGGAAAAGACCACTTTTACATGCACTTATGGAACTTATGCATTTAAGAGAATGGCATCCGGGTTGTGTAATGCACCTGCGACCTTTCAAAGGTGTATGATGGCTATTTTCACCGATATGGTGGAACGGTTTGTGGAGGTCTTTATGGATGATTTTTCTGTGTTTGGTCCTTCTTTTGATGAATACTTAACCAATCTTGCTAAAGTGCTTGCTAGGTGTGAGGAGACTACTAAATTGGGACAAGTGTCACTTTATGGTACGTAGAGGTGTAGTGCTGGACACAAGGTGTCCAAAGATGGACTGGAAGTTGACAAGGCTAAGGTGGAAGTAATTGAAAAGTTGCCACCACCAATTTTAGTAAAAGGAGTTGGGAGTTTCCTGGGACATGCAGGTTTTTATCGTCGATTAATAAAGGATTTCTCAAAATTTTCCTCTCCTTTGTGCAGGTTATTAGAGAAGGATGTGTCGTTCAAGTTTGATGATGCTTGTCTGAAAGAATTTGAGGAGCTAAAAAAGAAGTTAGTGAGTGCACCAATCATAGTGGCTCCTGACTAGAACGAGCCATTTGAGCTGATGTGTGACGCCGGTGATGGGGCAATTGGGGCCGTATTGGGCCAGAGGAGGAGTAGAATATTTCACTTCATTTACTACGCAAGCAAAACTCTCACTCCTGCTCAAATAAATTATACTATGACATAAAAGGAGTTGTTTGTTGTAGTATGGGCGCTCGATAAATTTTGGGCCTATTTGATTGGCACCAAAATCATCATCTACACAGACCATGCAGCCAATAGCTATTTGTTTGAAAAGAATGATGCTAAACCAAGGCTAATCCGTTGGGTTTTACTCTTGTAGGAATTTGATTTGGAGATCCGATACCGTAAAGGAATAGAGAATCAAGTAGTTGATCACTTGTCCAGGTTAGAAACTCGGAATCATGTAGCTGAGGGAGATATCTTCAAAGAAACAATCCCGGATGAGCAATTGTTGGCCATTACTGAAAGCCCCAGAAAATTTTGCTAAGTAATCTAAGATTTTGTAATGACAAGATAGGCTAATTATTTTATCTTGTGTGCAAGTAAAGGTTCATGATATAATGGATATAAATAATATAAGTTAATAAGTGTATAAGTCATATTATAAGTAGTTTGGGGTCTAAGGAGAGGCTTAAGTCTAAGCCAAGTTGGAAAAATTTTATAATAGGCTAAAGTTGTAAGTGAATGCGCATAAGACCTCACTTTGGAAAAGCATATCTCTAGTTATATAAAGTGTTAAGTGATGCAAAACCTATCAAATTAAAGCCCTTTGAGTCTAGTTCCTAACGCAACAAACCTTTTGTCATTTGGAGTTGTATACAGAAAGTTATGACCATTTTACCGGACATGCATCACCAGCGTGCCCAGGAGCATGGCCGCGGCAAACCAAGGTTTTTCTGCCTGTAAACCGCGGCTGAATGCGGCGGGACGCATTGGAACATGTAAAATGTCTAAAATATCCCTGGTCAGTGTAAAAACCAAAGGGGTATTACATTTCCTTCATTTTTTGATCATTCAAGCTCGAATTTTGGGGTTTTCTTCACCCTCTCAAGACCTCCAACCCCTCCCATCTTCAAGGTAAGCAATATTCATTAACTTGGTGTAAAATTCCATTATTCTTACACTAGTATTGATGAAATCTACTCATAAAACACATAGATCTTCAAGAAATTCCTTCAAGAACCCAAAAGAGGGTTTTGCAAGATTTCTTCCAAAAGGTAATCCTACACCCTTAGACTTACATGTATGAATTTATTATGTGTATATGAGTGTGAATTAAGTATTGGGACTCTTGGTGTGGTGATTAGAAGTCATAAGATCCTAATATAAATACATAGTCATTGTAGAGATTGAAAGGTGATTATTTGATGGAATTTTGTTGGTTGGGTGAAGATGGGTTGTCACACATATGTTGTTGGAAGTTATAAATTGGTTAGGAATGATGGTGGAATGAATTGTTGGTTAATGGTGATAGTTGGGTGAACCAATACTATAGTTATGGGGTGTAAAGATCTATACCTACAAGGTGTTTGATGATATGCCTAAATGGCATAAGTTACGGAATTTATTACTAATATTGGCCCTATTGAATGTTGTATTGTAGATTGAGGTTGCTTAAGTGTATTGGATCATTGTAGTATGACTAAGGGCGAATTTGAGGTATGTATGGATAACTTAAATCTTTGTAAAGTCACCTTGTTTTGTGTACGAGTAATTGGTATGTGTTATTTATGTTGACCATTTGTGAATTCTTGTGATTAATATGCCTTGAACGTTGTTGGCTAACTTTAACCTTTGTAAAGTCACCTTGTTTGGTGTAGGAGTAATTGGTATGTGTTATTTATGTGGACCATTTATGAATTCTTGTGATTAATATACCTTGAACGTTGTTGGCTAACTTTAACCTTTGTAAAGTCACCTTGTTTGGTGTACGAGTAACTAGTATGTGTTATTTATGTGGACCATTTGTGAATTCTTGTGATTAATATGCCTTGAACGTTGTTGGCTAACTTTAACCTTTTTAAAGTCACCTTTTTTGGTGTACGAGTAATGGTATGTGTTATTTATTTGGACCATTTGTGAATTCTTGTGATTAATATGCCTTGAATGTTGTTGGCTAAGTTTCCTGATATAATGGTGTAAGTAAATGGCAAAAATCCAAGCGTGTGTGTGTGAAGGTGCTTATGTGGTAAGAGCTGTGTAACAAATGATGGAAAGAATTCGTAATTGATGCAATTGAATCAACTGTGCTAATATCATACGTGACTTGTCGCGGCAATTATCGTTATGACTTAAATTGTATACAGACTGTTGCATATAATGGAAATGGTATTGATGTCTATGAAAATTATTTGTGAATTGTTGTGTTGTCGTGTGAAATGTAATTGTCCGGTGGGATCGGGTTGCGCGCCGCAACACGAAGTTATAAGGTATGGGTTGTGGTGATAAGGGTGGTCGAGGTAATAAGGGTGGCCGAGGTAATACGGATGGAAAAGTGATCGAAATCACTATTGAAATTAAAATATGTGAAAGTTGTGAAACCATTGATGTGATGAAATAAAGTTGAAAGGGGAAAAGGAGAGATTGTGGAACTTGTTTGGCTTTGGTTGTTCCTTTCATGTGCATTGGATTGTTGATTCTATTATTGTTTGTTACCTGTGTATTTCTTGATTTTACTTGGGGTAAAGTTTGTTCATACATACCAGTACAATTCAAATGTACTGACGTCCCTTTTGNCGTCCCATTTTGTCGGGGGTGCAACATTCGTGTTATGATTGTAGGTGGTTCTATAGCAGGTACTCCAGTCCACCGACAGTAGCACTCCTTTACTTTCCGTCAGCTGTATTGGTGAGCCCCTTTTTCCTCTCAGGGCCCTGTGTGGTTCATGCCGCTTTTTCTCCCGGAAATCTTATTTTGGTATTTGCCTAAGGTATAGCCGGAGCCTTATTACTGGCAAGTATTGTAACACTCTTTGTATCCCTAGAGGCTCCGTAGACAGGAAATGTGGGTTATGCGCTTATGTATTTTGTATTTGGGCAGTGTAACTTGTAAACCATGCTAACTAACTATGTATGTTATGTAAATCTCGTAAGAATGTGTTTAAATTTACAAATGGCTATTTCACTTGGTTGACGGATAAAGGAAAATGCGGGGTAACACGTGGGATAGGAAAGGGACCCAGGTCCGCTTGACTGGGGCTACTCGGTCGAGCACCGATCGCACCCCTCGGTTTTGGGGCGTGACAAACTTGGTATCAGAGCCTAAGGTTTTAAAGTGTCCTAGGATGTCTCGGAGCCGTGTCTAGTATAGTCCTTATTATCGGTGTGTTGTCGACCACATCTATAATTTGGAGGCTACATAGACATTTAGGAATGTTACCCTTCTTCAACACTCCAGATCGTGTGATAAAGCTTGACTATAAGATTGTCTTCTAACTCGTGCGTTGAGATTCGAGATAAGTTTAAACGCTCTTTCATCTATTTCAAGTAATATTGTCATATGGAATAACCAATAGGAAAGGCCTGAATATTAAGAGATGGCACATGTATCATGTTGAACAAATTGTATGGATATATGATATACGTACATAGTACCAGAAGCATACTTTATATGAGAAAAGTGTTTAAATTGATCACCCACCTCCAAAGAGACATTGACTTGATAAATGAGACGCAAGCTTATATGGCACATGTTGATAGTGTGGGAAGCATGTATATGATCCTAAGGTGTAAAAGAAAAATTTGTTATATAAGCATGTGATATATGTAAGGCATGCCCATGAGAGTAATGACAAATATGTAGGTCTCTCACGGGAGACAAGAAGTCATGAAATGAGAGTCAATTGAACCCATAATGAGAAGACCCTTATGCTATGAATGTTATAAGAATCCCATAAGTGTATGAAGTTGTGTTACACTCCTAAAGGATATTGACATGAGGAATTGGAATCCCAAGTCTGTGTGGCTGAATAAGAGTAGAGAACTTGTGAGGTTAATACAATGCTGACTTCAATCTCCCTAATAGTCGAACATATATGTGAGGGATAGAGATATGAAACATATGTCCATGAAGTTGCTAAATTCAAGACTTGTGTCAAAATCCGGGGCATTCGCCCTAAGTGGGGGAGGAAGGGCCATAGTAAGGCCACTTAAATACAATGAAACAAGAGTAAGACCATGTAGCTATGATGTTTGAATATTTTGTTGAAGACATGCGTAGTCTAGAAAGGTGATAATGGATAACGTGATTATCTGAAAGGATATGGTAATGATAGATCGCTAGTAACCCAAAAAAAATGAAAGGTTAAGGAAGGTAAATTCTTCATACATGGCAATGTGAATGATAGGGTCAACGGTCCTAGAAATTAAGAGTATGTTTGTAAAGGGATTTTATACTTGTTAGAGGGTTAGGAACAATGGAACCTAAGGAAGTACTATAGGCCAAATATGGAAGGTTGCGAGTTTTTAGAATGGGTTAATCATAGATCTGTGATTTAACCAAAGTACTAAGGCGTTAAGAAAGGCGAAAGGAGTGGGAGAAATAAATGTGATGATATAATAACCCAAGAGGGTATTTGGGCTTGATGGAGAGCCTCTAAAGAATCTTACAAACAAAGAAGTGTTAAGTGATATGACGATGAACACACTTTCCCACGGATATCCTAACTCTTGTGCGTGGCTACTCACCAAATAGGAATAATGAGGCGAGAAAAAATGGGAAGAAAATCTATAAATTGAGATGTCCATGGTTATCGCAAAATAGTTCGTATCAGAATGGTGGACTCGCCTGGAGCACAAGTGTTAATAGAAGGTATAAAGGACTAACAATAATGCTACCGACTTGGGTGACACTGAATATCAACTGAAATATTTAGAGGGAGTTCATGTCTACATACTACAATGGAAAGTGAGACTAATGGTGGTGAAATAGTGGTGTGATGAACTCAACAAACCAGACACAATGATACCACGAGTCCATGGGGTGCAGACAAGTGCGTGGCACA